AGGCAAAAACCTGAGCAGCCACCGGGGAGGGGGGAGGCGTAAATATGCAAACAGTCCCCACACAGGCAGGTAAGGAGAGATGCCAAGCATCGGACAGGTAAGGAGGGGGAGGGGGGCTGCTGGTGTGTGGTGGTCCCTCCTCCCCCCCGAAGGGCGGGGCGGGGGGAACTGCAGTCGCTGCAATAAATAAAGGTACAAAACAACCAACGTGACTGCTGCTCCCGAGCGGGAAGGCGCCTTCGAACCGCTCCCCTTTTCTCCTGCCGCCGCGGCCAAGTGCAATTGGTCAGAGTGCCACGGGGGTCGCCGTGGGAAAGTCCAGCCAGACGGGCGGTCTCTGCGTGGACCGGGCTAGCCATCTTCTTCGGCCCCTGAATCCCTCCCGTCCGGTTCTTCGCGGACGGAGGAGGCAGGGCCGGCCGCGTTCTCTTCTTGGCTGCTCAGGATCTCTTCCACGGCGTCACCTGCGTGGGCAAAAGCAAGGTGTCAAGAGGTGATTGCTCTCTCGCGGTATCTAAAGGGCTGTTCCTTAGAGGAGGGCAGGGAGCTGTTCGGGTGGCCATCAGAGGAGAGGACTCGCAAGATAATGGATTGAGATTAAGGGCAGGCAGGGACCGGCTGGATCTTAGGTAATTTTTTTTTTTACAGCTGAGAGTTGTTCAACAGTGGGATCGGCTGCCTGGGGAGGTGGTGAGCTCCCCCTCACTGGCAGTCTTCAAGCAGCGGCTGGACAGTTCTCAGGGATGCTCTAGGCCAGGGGTGTCAAACTCATTTGTTAGGAGGGCCGGATCTGACATAAATGAGACTTTTTGGGCCGGGCCATGTGTGTCATAAAATGTAATGCCAGGTAGCGGAGATAGAAACTTTATAAAGGATACAAACACAAAGATAGGGTTTTTTTAACTTAAAATAAAAACATGCTTAAAACATTAGCTCTGTAAGCTGCAAACCTACTTTTGATTTGATTTTGGAAGATTATTCTGGAACATCTAGAGCTCTTAATATGCTGTAACATTGTACTGATGGTTTTATATGGTTTTAACCTGTTTTTATGTGTTGGCTTAACGCCTGCCTGTGAGCCGCCCTGAGCCCGCCTGGCGGGGAGGTCGGGCTATAAATTGAAACTATAAATAGATACATTTGTTGAGATTCCCCACAGAAATCTCATGCTCAGAGCTCTGAGTCTAGGACCCAGGGGAAAACATGAAATGGCTGAGCGATTGAGAGAGTCTGGCGAAGCAAGCTGTGATGCAGCAGCAGCAGCAGAACTGGAAGCAGGAGATGGCCGGTTACACTGCGGGCCTGATGGAAGCCCGCCGGGGGGGGCCCTGTTTGACACCCAAGCTCTAGGCTGATCCTGCACTGAGCAGGGGGTTTGACTCAATGGCCTATAGGGCCCCTTCCAACTCTGGGATTCTGTGATCCTATGACACCTCTCGGACACAGACTAAGTAAACAAAACCAATCACCGGATCATAGAGTTGGAAGGGACTTCCAGGGCCATCTAGTCCAACCCCCTGCACAAGGCAAGGAATCCTCTCCCTCCCTCCCTCCCAACCTGCCCCCCTCCCCCCCACTTTTCTACTCTCCCTCAATCCTACGCCAAGTTACAAACCTGAGCTGCCCTAGTCGATTGCTTCCCACTTGGGATCGGCAACTCCCTTCCTCTGGGCTGAACAGTCCCAGGGCCTGTTTCCCTACTAGACTTCCTCTTTCAGGGGAACGAGCAGCTCTTAAAATGTTCGGAACACGTTAGTCCTGCTGCCTTTGGGTATCACGGAATCGTAGAGTTGGAAGGGACCTCCAGGGTCATCTAGTCCAGCCCCCTGTGCAATGCAGGAGATTCAACAATACTTCCCCCCCCACCAACCAGTGTTCCCTCTAAGCTGAGTTAGTGTGAGCTAGCTCACAGTTTTTTAGCCTCCAGCTCACAGATTTTTGTCCTAGCTCAGGAAGAATGGCTCCAGATCAAGCTAATGTATGCAGCAGCCAAATCACTTGCTCACAACTTTAATGCCAGTAGCTCACAAAGTAGAATTTTTGCTCACAAGACTCCACAGCTTAGAGGGAACATTGCCACCAACCCCCGTGTATCATGTATTCCCCAGGCGGCTCTTCCACTATTTTAAATGTTCAGAACACTTCAGTCCTGCCCAATCTCATCAGATCTTGGAAGCTAAGCAGGGTCAGGCTTAGTTATTACTTGGATGGGGGGAGACCAAGTCAAGGGTTGTGACCAGTGTTCCCTCTATACTAAGTTAGTGTGAGTTAGTTCACAGTTTTTCAGCCTCCGGCTCACACATTTTGGTCTTATCTGAGGAAGGGTGGCTCCAGAGCGAACTGATTCATGCAGGAGCCAAATGGCTCGCTCACAACTTTCATGCCGGTAGCTCACAAAGGAGAATGTTTGCTCACAAGACCCCAGAGCTTAGCGGGAGCCTTGGCTGCAACATATCTTCTGGGGTGGGGTGGGTGGGAGCTCATTCTGGATTCCAGCAGGAGGACATCTGGAGCTGCAAGGACGTTGTGACGCCCACCGCGGCTGCGCACCAGGGTCCATAACCAACAGCCCCCGAGAGGAGTCGCCAGAGAGTCGAAAGAACAGCAGAGGCCGCGGAAAACGCACCGGAGAAAAACTGGAAGAAGTCGCCCACTCACCGGATAAACGAACGATTGGAGCCGGGAGGGCACCTACCTGGTAGGGCTCCCCCCACCCCAGACGTACTGTGGCCATAGGTAGGGTTTCTGCATAGGTCTCTGCACCATGCACCATGTAAGCCGCTCAGAGCCCTTCGGGGGTGAGCGGGGTACAAATTGAAAGTGTAAATAAATAAAATACTGGAATACTTACCGTGCTCTGTCTCCTCGTCCATGATCTCCTGCACGTCCGCCGCTGTTGCTGCTGCTTCTTCCTCCTCCTCGTCCTCCTCCTCTCCCTCTTCCTCCTCGTCTTCCCCATCGTCATCCACGATGACCACAAAGTCGTCCCCGTTCTCTGTCTCGCTACAAATGCAGCGGAAGGACAAAATGTGTCCCTGTCTCTTTCTGCTGGCCTCCCTGCCGCGCAGAAAGCCCTCTCCCGTCGAGGCAGGCCTCCTCGGGAGCCGACAAACAGCTCCTCCTGTCTCCAGCTTGGACATAATTCATGAGCACACTCCACCACCAGTGTTCCCTCTAAGCTGAGTTAGTGTGAGCTAGCTCAGTTCTTTAGCCTCCAGCTCACACGTTTCTGTCTTGGCTCAGGAAGGAGGGCGGCTCCGGAGCAGACTAATTGATGCGGCGGCCAAATCGCTCCCTAACAACTTGAATGCCCAGTAGCTGACAAAGTAGAATTTTTATTTGACTTATCCCCCGCCCTCCCCACCAAAGAAAAAGAATAAGAGGAGAAGGGATTGGTATACCCCGCCCTTCACTACCCAAGGGAGTCTCGGAGCGGCTTACAAACTCCTTTCCCTTCCCCTCCCCACAACAGACACACTGTGAGGCAGGCGGGGCTGACAGAGCTCTTTCCGGAACTGTTTGGTGTAGTGGTTTAAGTGCGCAGACTCTAATCTGGGAGAACTGGGTTTGATTCCCGACTCCTCCACTTGCACCTGGCTGGATGGCCTTGGGCAAGCCGTAGCTCTGATAAGAGCTGTTCTCTCAAGGAAGAAGAAGAGATTGGATTTATACCCCGCCCTTCACTACCCAAAGGTGTCTCAGAGCGGCTCACAAACTCCTTTCCCTTCCCCTCCCCACAACAGACACCCACCCTGCGAGGTAGGTGGGGCTGAGAGAGCTCTTGACAGAAACGGCTCTTTTTGAAAAACAGCTCTTATCAGAACTACGGCTTGCTCAAGGTCATCCAGCAGCTGCGAGTGAAGGAGTGGGGAATCATACCCGGTTCTCCCAGATTAGAGTCTGTGCACTTAACCACCACACCAAAGCAGGCTCAGGGCGGGGTATAAGAGAGCACTGACGAACACGCACGAGGACAGATTTCTCGCTCAAAATGTCACCCGTGTTTGTGTCGAGGTCCTCTCAATCCCACCTTTGCGCTAGAAGATTCCCCTCCCCCGGACCTCTGTCTCTCCCTGGGCATCAACGGGCAAGCCCATCAATGGTTTAAAGAAAAGAAAGACGGCCGTCAGGAGTCCTTGGGGCGTCTCACCTGTCTTCCTCGCCGTTTTCACCCCCCTCTCCCATCAGGTAGTACTGCAGCGGGTTGGGCCAGAGATCCTCTTTGATGATCTGTGGGGAGGTAGGAAAGAGGGTTGGGGGAAACCCGGAGGCTGGAAACAACCCCGGAGAGGCTGCGAAGGGCCTCCCCTCCCACCTCGGCAATGCGGTCCCCCGCTGGGAAGCTGTGGTCGCAGAACCAGCTGAAGAAGCTGCGGTTCATCTCGAAGCTCTTCCGGCCGTGAGCCAGGGGGTCCAGGCCGCGCCACCAGCGGATGGGCGTCGAGTGGGACACCAGCCTCCCTGGAAGGGACAGAGAGACACCCGAGAGAGATGAGAACCCGCACGTGGCACGCGGCCTGTGGCTGCTCTCCCACAAAGCTGCCTTCTACCGGATCAGAGCATCGGTCTATCGAGATCAGTCTAGTCTACTCAGACTGGCAGTGGCTCTCCGGGGCCTCAGGTGAAGGAGGTCTTTCCCACCGCCTATTGCCATATTCCGTAGCGCATGCCGGGAATTGAACCCGGGACCTTCTGCAAGCCAAGTGGAGGCTCTGCCACTGAGCCAGGGTCTCAGGCCAAGGTCTTTCTCATCACCTCCTGCCTGGTCCTCTTAACTGGAAAAGCCAGGGATTGAACCTGGGACCTTCTGCATGCCAAGCAGAGGCTCTGCCACTGAGCCAGGGTCTTAGGTCAAGGTCTTTCTCATCACCTCCTGCCTGGTCCTTTTAACTGGAGATGCCGGGGAATGAACCTGGGACCTTCTGCATGCCAAGCAGAGGCTCTGCCACTGAGCCAGGGTCTCAGGTCAAGGTCTTTCTCATCACCTCCTGCCTGGTCCTTTTAACTGGAGATGCCAGGGATTGAACCTGGTACCTTCTGCATGCCAAACAGAGGCTCTGTCACTGAGCCAGGGTCTCAGGTCAAGGTCTTTCTCATCACCTCCTGCCTGGTCCTTTTAACTGGAGATGCCATTGATTGGACCTGGGACCTTCTGCATGCCAAGCAGAGGCTCTGCCACCGAGCCACACCCCTCCCCCTCCCCCGGACATACAGCTCCCGCCCCATACCTGAAGACCCACACTGGAATTCCTTCACGATGACCTCATTCTGGAAGTAGGGATTGCTGTTGAAATAGAACTTGATCTTGCAGCCGGACTTTCCGTGGGTGAACTCCTCAACCTGGTAAAAGCCACAGAAATCCAGTCATCGGGGAACTAAGGATCCCTTCCACCCCATCCTGCAGCGCAATCCCTTAAAAGGAAAGTACTCACAAATCGGGCACAGCAATAGGACCAGTCCCCACCGCCCCAACTTAAGGAACTGCCGTATGCTGAGGTCAGTATTGTCTGCTCAGACTGGCATCAGCTGCCCAGGGTCTCAGGCAGAGGTCTTTCCCATCACCTCCTGCCTGCTCCTTTCAACTGGAGATGCCGGGGATTGAACCTGGGACCTCCTGCATGCCAAGCAGAGGCTCTGCCACTGAGCCAGGGTCTCAGGTCAAGGTCATTCCCATCGCCTCCTGCCTGGTCCTTTTAACTGGAGATGCTGGGGATTGAACCTGGGACCTTCTGTAAACCAAGCAGAGGCTCTGCCACTGAGGCACAGCCCCTCTGGAGCCAACCCTCCCCCGCCAGTCACCTGCAGATTGGTCATGTAGCTCAGCGTATCCTCATCCCGGTCATTGATCATGGCTGAAAGCTGAGGGTGATTGAGAAACTGGCAGGTCAAAGTCAAAGGAGAAAAACAGGAAGATTTGCAGTCCCACTTTTTTTTGGATACAAGTGCGATCAAACAGGGAAACAGAAAACCGCCAGGCGCCCTCCTGCCTCCCACCGACACGCTGCCCGGCGCCAGGTAGAGGGAACGCTAATACAACGCTGATGCTTTCATTTCCAGGGTGTCTTGCGGCACCAAGGAAACCCACTCGCTCGTTTCCCAGGATCTAGAGGTGTTGTGGTCAGGACTATACTAGATGGACCAATATATCAAGGGTTGTCCTACCAAGAGAACCCAGGTCCAAGGGCATCAAGTGGGAGGGAAACATTTTAAATATATAAAACCGCAGATTTGTAGATTCACTCCAGCGGCACCAGTTTATCGCAGCAAATTGCTGCAGTGAGGAATCCTGCAGCACCTTAAAGACTAAGGGTGCCGTCCCTGGGGTGGGAAGTTCCTGGAGATTTGGGGGTGGAACCTGGGGAGGGTGGAGTCTGGGGAGAGATATAGAGCCACACAGCCCACCCTCCAAAGCAGCCATTCTGTCCAGGGGAACTGAGCTCTGTAGGCTGGAGAGGAGCTGGAATCCCGGGGCATCCCCAGGCCCTACCTGGAGGCTGGCATCCCTGGACCTCAGTGGGGCACAAGGCCACAGAGTCCCCCCTCCAAAGCAGCCATTTCCTCCAGGGGAAACTGATCTCTGCAGGCTAGGGGTCACTTGTAATCCTGAGGGGTCTCCAGGTCCCACCTGAAGGACAGCAACCCTATTAAAGGCAGACCAAAAAAACACTTCCTAGCATAAGCATCTGCCAGCATCAGAGGAAGCGTTCACCAAAGCATATACTAGGAAGTTTTTAATTTTGTTTGTAAGGTATTCCTGCACTCGTTTTCACCAGTGTTCCCATACATTCTTTTGCAAGCTAGGACTGGGAAACTCCTGGAGATAGGGTGGGTGGGTGTTTTTGTAGCCTCTGAAGGCTATAATATATATATAATTCCAAGTATTTTCCATCCTTGACCTATTCAGGTCCACCCCAGCTCCAAAACTCTGGATCCGGGCATCACCAGCAACCCTAATTCTGTTCACGCGGGCTTAGGTGCTAGGTTTACCCACAGTGTTCCCTCTAAGCTGAGTTAGTGTGAGCTGGCTCACAGTTTTTTAGCCTCCGGCTCACACATTTTTGCCTTCAGGAATGAGGTCCCCAGAGCAAACTAATTTATGCAGGAGCCAAATCGCTCCCTCACAACTTTAATGCCAGTAGCTCACCAAGCAGAATTTTGGCTCAGAAGACTGAGCCAGGGCTCTATTTGTAGCAGGAACTCCTTTGCATATTAGGCAATGCACCCCTAATGTACCCAATTCTCCAAGAGCTTACAGAGCTCTTCTTACAGGGGCTACTGTAAGGCTCTTGGAGGATTGGCTACATTAGGGGCGTGTGGCCTAATATGCGAAGGAGTTCCTGCTACAAATAGAGCCCTGGACCAATTTGGGTTGGGAAATTCCAGGAGATCTGGGGGTGTAGCCTCGGGAGGGGAAGTATAAAGATAGGATGCCAATTCCTGGAGATTTGGGGGTGGCCCTCACACCATAGGGCGCCCCCCCCCCTCCGTGCAGGCATTTCCTTCAGGGTAAAGGGCTCTCTCTTGCGTGGAGCTCAAGGTGTCATTCCGGGAGCTCCCCAGGTTCAACCTGGAGGACGGCCGCCCTACTGGCCAGAGGACCTTCCTCCTCTTCTCCCCCCCCCCCCGGTTATTCTTAACCCTTCCCTTCACTGCAGGAGGATACGGCGGTGACCCAGAAGCCGGGGATGTTCTGGATGATGCGGTTGCGCCTCTCCAGGTGGGGCCGCCGGATGTGGCCGAACTTGGCCTTGAGCTGGCTGAAGGCCCGGCCGGCCTGCTGGTTGACGGCCTCCAGCTCCACCTGCACGGCCTCCAGCGCCTCCAGGTACTGCTCCGTCTTGGCGGGCGGCCTTCCTCCCCCCCCTCCTCCTCCTCCGTCCTCCTCGTCATCGTCCTCGCCCACCGAGATGATGGAGCACTCGTCCTCCGCCGCCGCCGCAGCAGCAGCCGCCGCCGCCAACTCGGCCACCCTCCGCCTCTCCTTGGCCTCCTTCCTCTTCCTCCGGCCCTCCCGGCCATCTCCCGCCGCCGCCTCCTCTTCCTCCGCCGCTTTGGTGGTTTCCAGGCTCCCCCTGGCGCGCCGGGCGGCGGTTTCTAGCTCTCCCTTTCCCTCCGCTTCGGCTCCTGCGCCGCCTTCGCCGTCCCCGGGCCGCTCCTCCTCCCCGTCGGCCTTCGAGTCGCGCCGAGCGCGGCCACCCCGGGCGCCCAAGTCCTTCCCGGGAAGCCCCGGCGGGTTGGCGGTTTCGGGCGCCCCCTGCTGGGCGGCGGCGGTTTCCAGGCTCCCCTCGTCGTCGGCGGTTTCGCGCGCCCCCTGCCGCTCGGCGGCGGTTTCGCGCCCCCCGCCGCTCCAAGCCGTCATGTCAGCCAGTGCCTGGGCCGCCTCGGTCTCCTTCTGCGACTGACAGGCCGAGGCGTCGAGGCGCCGCTGCTTGGAGGCCGGGGAAGCGGGGTCCCAGGCCCCGCCGCCGTCCTCGCTCATGGCTCCGGCCGGCCGCACCGACGGTGCCCCGGAAGTCTCGCGGGAGGAAGGCGGAGGGGAGCGAGAGAGGCGAGGGGGGGGCGGGAAGGAGCGCGAGGCCGACGACGGTTTCAAACCTCAGGGAACGCGGGGGGGGGGGGGGGAGAGAAGGGCGCGAGAGGCAAACGGACTCTCTTCCAATTGCCACCGCGAGAGAAGCCTGCGCAGCTTCTTCTCATTGGCCGCCGGCCGAGGCCCCTCCGACCAATAGCGGCGAGGCTTGCTCCCGTCGCGTCTGTCGATTGGCTGCCCCGGCGAGGCCGTCGCGGAGGTGAGCCCTCCGTCTTTTGGACACCACGTGGGGGGAGACGGACGCCGATCGTTCGGCCCTTTCTCTGCCTGTCATTGGCCGATCCGGGCGACCTGGTTTCCGCGGCGTCATCCGGAGAAGAAGAGCGGACGCCTCGACCTCTCGGAGACGCATGCGCGTCGGGCACCTTGGGCGCGGCTTCCATTGGGGACTTTCCTGGCCTTTCCCGGCTCGCTGTCCTCGGCGCATGCGTCTTGGGCAGAGGAGGAATGTGTTGTCGGAGGTAGCTCGTTATGCAAAAGAGGGGAAAGGCACATCTCTTCCCCCTCCCAAGGCAAAATGCAGTGCTGCTGTGCATGTGGTCTGAGGAACGCAAAAGGAATGGCATTATTTCCCTGCGTTCCTGGATAGGGTTGCCAGCCTCCAGGTGCGGCCTGGAGATTGCCTGGAACTGCAACTGATCTCCAAATAACACAGATCAGATCCTCTGGAGAGAATAGCTGTTTGGGAGGGTGGACTCCAAGCGTTACACCTTAATGAGAACCTGGCAACCCCATGCGGTAGATTCAGGATGGGGGACACAGTACCTGTTAAAACACAACACACATATTTAACACGTGCAATTTGCTATCACGGAGGCCATGGTGATTCCCCCTCCCCCATGTGATCCCTGGTTTACCTGTGTAAGAGAAGGAAGGGGTCAAATGCGGTGGAATGGACTGCAGAGCATCACATTTTGGAATCTTCTCCCTAAAAAAAGCAACCTGCCTCTGCCAAAAAAAGAACAAGAAGGATTTCTCCTTGACGCATTACTGTTCTGCTTGTGGGGAGCTCTTGGAATCTTCCACCTGCAGTTTGTCAACTACTTTTTTATCCTTGCCCTTTGTAGGACAAGGGAAAAGGAATGTGATTTCTGAATGTGGTTTCGGACACGCTCTCCCTGATGTATATTGACAGCTGTCACTGTGCCTTCAGAAGTTTAATCATAATAGATCCAGATTTTGGTACGTAACCTAGAATCTTTTGATTAGAGAAACTTAAAGCAGAGCATATGTTTTATAACTGCGTTTTTGTGTGGAAGAAGCCTTCTTAGAAGGAATCAGGATGCAATAAGAATGGAATGCTATTTAGGAGTTGCAAGGCTGCCGAGGGCAAGGTTTAATGTGCTTTGCAGCCCTTATCAGCTAGCTCTCCACATGTGAGCCCAGGAAGGGACCCAGTGTTCTCTAATGTTCCCAATGTTCTGAAGACAAAATAAACAAGTGTAATTACTGACACCACTGAGAGATGCACTGAGTCAAATTATGCTTGTATGATGTTAACTGCTTGGTACCAGTTAGAGACTCTTTAATGTGTAAACTATATGTGATGTCATTTGGGGCTATAAAACCTTCTGCCCTTCCTGGTTATGGCAGAATACAGCTTTGGAATTGCTGAAGTGCCAAGGTACTCCGCCCCCTGTATTCCTTGTTTTAAATCCATTAAACTCACTGGACCCCGACTGTGTGATTCCAGTTCGGCAATGGGAGCACGCAGACACAGACTTGTGTATCCCCTTCCTAGGAGAAGTGAGCATTCCTCTCCCTTTCTCCTTGTAACCACTGCACTTGGCTCTTTTACACTTGCAAACCAAATGGTATGTTGAACCCCAAAAAGGATGAAACGGATTCTCAAGAAGGAGAGGCCTGCCAACAGCGATTAGCCATGATATGCAAGTGGAACCTCCACATTCAGGCGCAGCATATCAGTTGCCGGAGGTGGGGTGAGCAATGTGGGAGTGTGGTGCTCCTTTCACAACTCCAGGCCAGTTTGGCCAGGGATCCCGGAGGTTTTTTGTCATCTTCTGGGCATGGAACAGGGGTCTGTGGGTGTGGAGGGGGAGGTATTTGTGAATTCCCTACCTTGTGCAGGGGGTTGGACTAGATTTATTTATTTATTTATTCATTCCACTTTTACCCCGCCCTCCCCGCAAGCGGGCTCAGGGCGGCTTCCAAAACTGACAAGCAGTATCCAAACACAATAAAAACATAAATACAAGCATCAGTTAAAACACAAACAATCCATATAAAACGTTTCATTAGATGGCGATAAAACTAAAGTGCAGTTTAAAGACACATTCAACGGTGCCCCCACGTTAGGTCATATTGGATCGAAGTTCGCACAGGGCGCTGCTGGTACGCCATCTCTCCTATCAGAACGCCTGCCTGAAAAGTTCTGTTTTCACAGCCCTGCGGAACTGTGACAGGTCCCGCAGGGCTCTAATCTCGGCAGGTAGCTCGTTCCAGTAGGACGGAGCTGCAAATGAAAAAGCCCTCGTCCTGGTTACCATCAACCTGACTTCCTTAGGGCCAGGGAGGTCCAGGCGGTTTTGGGATCCTGATCTCAGTGCTTTCTGGGGAACATACGGGGAAAGGCGGTCCCTCAGGTAGGCCGGTCCCTGACCATAAAGGGCTTTAAAGGCCCTGGAGGTCCCTTCCAACTCTGTGATTCTATTCTATAGCTTGTGGGCTTCCCCATCTGGCCAGCTGACACAGCTGGGGGAGGTCTTTGCTCTGATCCAATGGCCTATGCCGCAGTCGGACGAAATGCCTGTTCTGTGGTTGCGCTGCCAATGAAAAAGCTAAGAGCAACTGTAGTGCAGTAGTTAGAGTCTTGGAGTAAGATATGGGAGGCCCAGGTTTGAATGCTTGCTTTGCTACGGAAGCTTGATGGGTGACCTTGGGCCAGTCACACGCTCTCAGCCTAACCTGCCTCACAGGAACAAAGTTTGGCTCCAGGGGCACCTTTAAGACCAACAAAGTTTAATTCTGTGAATAAGGTTTCATGTCCATGCACACTTCCGTGTATCAGAAGAAATGAGAGCCAGTTTGGTGTAGTGGTTAAGAGCGCGGACTCTAATCTGGGAGAACCGGGTTTGATTCCCCACTCCTCCACATGCCGCCAGCTGGGTGACCTTGGGTCAGTCACAGCTCCCCCAGAGCTGTTCTCTCAAGAGGAGTTCTCGAAAGAACTCTCTCAGCCCCACCTACCTCACAGGGTGTCTGTTGTGGGGAGAGGAAGGGAAGGAGATTGTAAGCTGCCCTGAGACTCTGAGTGAAGGGCAGGGTATAAATCTCTCTTCCGCCTCCTCTTCATGAAAGCTTGTACCCAGAATTAAACTGTTGGTCTTCAAGGTGCCACTGGACTCAAACTTTGTTCTGTTGCTTCAGACCAACACGGCTACCCACCGGAATCTACCTCACAGGGTTGTTGTGAGGATAAAATGGAGGTGAGGAGAAGGCTGTAAGCTGCTTTGGGACCCTGTTGGGGGTAAAAAGCAGAATATAAGTAGATAATTTTTTAAAAAAATTCTGTTGGTGTCCTATGGATGTTTCTTCAGAAGCCCCATTGTATATTAGGGGGAAAGAACTTTTGTGTATAGGAGCCTTGTGAGCCAATTTGGTAAGTCCATCATAGGACTCCATTTCAATTTTCAATTTCAATTTTTATAACTAAGTGTTAGAACTTTTGTCCCTCAATAGTGTGGTTATTACAGTTATAATAATACTATGCTTTAATTTGCAGAATGTATGGATACCCTTGTGGTGATTTAAACTGTGTGAAGATCATTGAAAAGTGTATGTATAATATTTAAGCTTCTTTAAGTAGTACAATAGTGAGATTGTCTGGAGTGACTGGCCCCTGTGTGAGACGGGATGCTGGACTAGATGGACCCTCACTGGTCTGATCCAATAGGGCTCTTCTGACGTTCTCATGAACAAAGTAGGATAGAGTGCTGGGCAAATCTGTTTGGGATTGGGGTAGG